GGAGGTGTGAGATGAAAGGATGTCTGCAGGGTTTGGGAGCTTGAGTGTAGCTCCAGTCCTGGAGGCTGGGAAGGTGGGAGTAGCAGAGCTGGGAGGCTCAAGTGCTGCTGCCAGGACCCCAAGGCAGGCAAAAATTTGAAAAAGCCAAATTACTTTTAATTTGGAGCACAATGAATTTATCACAGTTTTTAAAGGAGCTGCTCAGGAGGGGAGGAGAGGGATTTGGTGGCTGGCGGGGCTGGGGGGTTTCTCTGGAGGAGCCTGGCTCAACACCTCAGTGAAGGGGCAACCAAAAGTCAACACAAGGCACAAATTGGTATTCTGAGGTATTATTGATTTAGCAGGTTTTCTTCTCTTAAAATAAGAAGTAGGGGATTTGTGAAGTGCTCAAAAATTATCTGTAGCATGAGGTTCTGCTAGAAATAGAGGAATGTCTCCCTGCAGGTGCTCCGTGGGGTCTCTGCTGTGCTGTCCCCTGCCCCAGGATATTTGGGAGCAGGAATCTGGCAGCAGCAAGTGCTCACAGGGGCCTGTCTGAGCACCCACAGCCTCTGTGGGACACCAGCTGTGTCCGAGCTGTGGCCAAACGCCTGCAGTCTGGCATCTCCATTTCTCTCTGAGCATTAAATAATATATGTCCTGCTCCAGTGGCCGCTGCCTTTGGAAAACCAGGCTGTGTCCCTGTGGTGGGCACAGCCATTCCTCCCCTGGAGTCACCTTTGGGCTGTTTCAGGGCTCACACCATGAGAAGTCGGAGTCCCTCGGATGGAAAAACTGGAAAATTGGTCCCAGTGCTCGAGCACAGAGGGGTTCCTCCCACAGAGTCACTGCTGAGCTGTGTCAGGGCTTGCTGTCCCCTCTGTGTTAGAAACCAGAGTCCTGGGGCTATGGGGGGTTGTCTGAGCTCAGTTTGGGTCAGTCTGCCTTTGTTAAGCCACCACAAAGGCAGAGCTGTTATCTCAGGGTGCTGGTGGAAGGCCCTGCCCATGGTTATCAGCAGGGTTTGTGCAATCATTATTTTGGAGCTGGGCATGAGTGGTGGGGCAGCAGTGCCAGCAGGAAAACTTTTAAAATGTGTCCTTGAAACTGAAGGTCTCCACTCGGTGTTTGCCCACTCCTGACACGAGTGCAGCCCTGCAGCTCCTGGTGCAGCCTCTGCCCCGAAGCTCCCTGGGCACTTCCAGCCTGCCTGGCTCCAGGCAGAAAGCAGAGGCTTTAGGTTGTGCCCCTGATGGAGCTGCTGGTGGTGCTTCACTGGCCTGTGGGGTTTGAGGGGCTCAGAGACCCCAACAGGGGAGTCAGGGTGTTTTGGTCAGGACAGTAGCTGCACCCTGAGGGATGTGGTGATGTGGAGCTGCAGCACCACGAGGGTCAGAATTGGTGGATTGGGATGTCTGGGGTTTCTACCTGGGGACACATTGCTGCAGTGGCTTTAGAGAGAAGAGTTAAATGTGGGGATCGCTCACAGGTTGGACTTGATGGTCTTGGAGCTCTTTTCCAACCTCAGTGATTCTGGGATTCCGTGAGATGCCTCTCCGGGGTGGAACGCTGTGGGACACCATGTCCATGTGGGGATCTGTCAGGGTGACTCCTCCTCTCCTTCCCCACACAGGACGGAGACGGGGACAAGAAGGACCCGTTTGAGGAGAGCGGGCTGAGCCTGAGCCCCACGGCCGCCGAGGCCAAGGAGAAGGTGAGGGCCAAGCGGGTGAAGAAGCGAGCGCCGCAGATGGACTGGAACAAGAAACGGGAGATTTTCAGCAATTTCTGAGCCTGGCTGGTGGCTGCCACCACCGCCCTCCTCCCGCCCAGCCCGGACGTTCTGAGGTGCCTACGCCCTGTCCTTCAGTGTCCACGTGAGATGCTTTGTGCTCTGCTCTTCACTGGTTGCTTTTACAAGGCGTATTTTAAAGCCCTTTTTATTTTTATTTTTTATTATTATTATTGTTGTTATTATTATTGTTGTTGTTACTCACCAGCGATTCTCATAAGACAAATGTGACCAAAGCTCCTTTTTTTTTTGCTTGCTCTTGAGCCTGGCTCTGGCTGCCCGCCGTCCCCCGTTCCTATGAGAAAGGACTGGAAGAATTTTAACTCTTGTTTCCTGAATCATTTAGGCTTCTGTTACTTCTTTTTTAATTTTTTTTTATTTGGGGTGTTTGTTTTGGTTTTGTGGGTATCCCAGACTGAGCCCCATGGGATGCTCTGTGCCCCTGTGCAAACATCTCACGGCTCGTGGCGGGTGCCCATGGGGTGGGGTGTACCTGGCACCCCCTCCTCAGCACCCCATGTCCAGCATTAGCTGATCCCACGATGGAAAATGGACTGTGGCTGGAAATGGCTCCTGTTGGCTTTGCTGTTGAAGCAAAAACGTTTGTTTTGTTGTTTTTGTTTTTGTTTTTTAATCAAGTCCCATATGTTTCCAGTTAGTTTAGGACCTTCCCTCCCACCAGCAGCTCCTGCCCCAGCAGTAAAAGCCCTTTTTTCATCCCCGACAGCTCTGCAGAGGGGAGAGGGCAGGATTTAAAACCCAAGCCCAGCACAGCCCTCCCCACCTGCAGCCGTGGAAGGCAGGGAGGGGGCCGGTCCTGCCTCGCGGCGCACGAAGATGAGAGACACGAGATGCTCTTTGGACAGGCCTGGAAGGGAGGACAAGGACAAACCAGCACCTGCTTCCAGGGGGAACGCGGGGCTGCGGCTCGAGCTGCGGGCTCAGCCTTGGGAAGCGGGGCTGGGCTGGGGCTGGAGCGTGTCTGGGTCCCACCTGGGCTGGGGTTTGGTGCCTCCAGCCCGTGAGTGTGTCTTGCCATCGGAGGGGCATCCTCCAGAGCCGTGGGTCTCCGTGGGGCTGGAGAAGCAGCTGGCAGTGGTGTGATGGAATGGGCAGTTGCTCTGGCGTTCTGTGGCCTCCTTCGAGCCCTCGCTCACGCATTGGAGCCTCCAAGGTGTATCTTTAAAGCATTACAGATTAAGCCCATTTCGGCTCTTTATGACTTGCCTTGGGCTGTGAGGGAGGTGCCTCAGCTGAACTGCAGTGCTCACAGGCAGCAGAGCTGTGTTACCAGGGCAGTGTCCGGCTGGGACAGGGCTGTCCCGCTCCCTCCCACGCTCCAGCAGCAATCCCAGCCCAGGCTGGGAAGGGACTGGGCACAGCAGGACAGGGGAGCACAAACCCACTTTTTCCAGCTGCAAGCAAACAGCAGCACTCAGCTGGCTATCAGTGACTTACAAACAGAGCTGTGATTGTGCCCTGCCTCGCTCCAGCACTGCTGAGATAAAAGCCCTCAGGTTAACGGACATGGGAACGGCTCTGCGTGTACTTCCTAAGGTATGTCCAAAATACGGAGCTAAAAGGTGCCTTATACCATTCTCTGCTCTCCTCAGCAGCAGGCTGGGGCTCAGCACAGGACGTTTGGCTTCCCCATGGGGAGCAAGCTGATGCCTGTGGCTCTTTGCTGCTGGCAGGAGAGCATGGAGAGCCTCAGGGGTGCAGGAGATGAGTTCTCTTTAGGAAAGTTATCTTTTAGGGTTGTGAATGGGCTGAACAGGTTGCAGATAATGACTTCAGAGAAGAACTGGTGCAGGTGTTTGGCTGTCAGTGACAGGCAGTGGGATCAGGGGGCGTGTGGAGAGGTTGCCTCCCCTCAGGGCTCTGCCATTAAGACACCTCTTCCCTACCCCTCCTCAAGTTACCTGCTCTCTTTTTGGCCCCCAAAATAGGATCTTCTATCAATGGGTAATGCTTGGAAGGAGCCCTTTTTCATGGTGTGCTCGTTGCTTCCCGTGCCCACATCGCCAAACCCCGGCAGTGCCCGGGCTGCACAGGGCACAGTGTTCCCAGGACACCCTGATACAGCCCAGAGAGCAAAGACCCGTTGTAAATACCCCATTTCTCATCCAAGACCGCTGTAGTTGAGGTGGGGGGAGAAAAAAGAACACGTAGTTTTGAATGCAGATCAAAAGAAATCAGGTGTGCAAACCCGTACTGATAAGATTTAAAATCTTAATCTCTGCTTAGTCCGTGGAAACTGCTCCTGGTTGAAGCGTTACCCTTTTCCTGACATCTTGTAGCTCAGTAGCAATTATTCAGTTCCTGTACATTTAACTTGGGAAAAAAAAAAATCAATGAAAGTATAAGGCTGTCAGCTGCATTGCAAAACCATAATGTACACTGTAATGTCAGTAATAAACTTGGTCTCCCATGTACCCAGGACTTATCTGCTCCTTCCTCAGCTGCTGCAGGGAACTTCAGAGCGGAATTGTAGCCGCCTTTAGCACATTATAAACTTTGCTTCCTCCCTGGCCCGTTTAAAGAGGAGCTGAAATTATTCCTTTGAAGCTCCACAATGAAGTCAGCACTGCCCTTTCTTTGAAGAACAAAACAGGGGTGGTGGTGTCCCTTCTGGCAGCTCCTGAGGACACAAGCCTGGCTCCTGTGGCCACTGTAACCCTTGCTGGTGCACTGGCTCATCTGTTCCTGTGTGACCCCCTGCTCTTCTGCTGCCAGGACCCAGAGGTCACTTGTCCAGGCAGTGATCACCTCTGATGCTGGCTCGGCAAGGCTTCAGCTGGACTTTAAAATCACAGAATCACTGAGGTTGGAAAAGCCCTTCAAAACCATCTAGTCCACCCTGTGCCTGATTCCCACCTTGTCCCCCAGCCCAGGGCACTGAGTGCCACATCCAGTCATTCCCTGGACACCTCCTGGGATGGGGACTCCACCACCTCCCTGGGCAGCCCCTTCTAATGCCTGACAACCCTTTCTGTGAAAAAATCCTTCCTGATGTCCAAACTGAACCTCTGCTTGAGGCCATTTCCTCTTGTCCTGTTGACACACCTTGTTGTGGCAGAGCCCCTGGCAACCCGGGCTGGCAAGTGGCTGTCAGGTGAGTATTGCTGCTCTCTGGCAGGGCTGGTTGCCATGGTCTCAGCTTTGCTGAGGTCACCCACGCCCTCCTCCCCCTGCCTCGTGTCACACAGACGCCAGCAAAACCCGTGGGTGCAAAAAAAGCTCCCACCACCTTTATTAAATGTGTATTTACAAGCAGCAGCGAGGCCCTGAGGACAAAGCTTCTCTCTGCAGTGACTCAGTGTGGCACAGCTGGGCCCTGCTGAGGCATTCACACAGGCTGGAGCCTCCAGCACTGGCACAGCAGGACTGCTGCACTCTCCAAGCCCCGTTCTCTGCTCGAGAGCTGAGCCGTCGCCAGCAGCTGCTCCCGCCCGAGATGCTGAGCTGGCTCCAGCAGCTCCCGTTCCCTGCAGTCACACAGCCAGCCCCGTGCAAGGCCCAGCTTTACCAGGGCTCAGCTCAGCTGCTGCTCAGCCCAAGCAGCTTTGTGGCTCTCCAAAGGCTGGATGATCCCTCAGCGCCTCTTGGCCGCTGGGCAAATGTCCTGGTTGAGGCACTGGCTGCAGCGAGGGTTCACAGGCAGGCAGGTCTGCTGGCCAAAGCCCACCAGGAGCCAGTTGATCTCCCTCCAGAGATCCCTGCAGTGAGAGGAGAAACATAAGCATTCTTATACAGCTGCTCAGAGGGGTTAGAGAGCAGCCTGTGCTGTTTGAGGATCCCTTTCCCCTACTGCTTGTTCTTCCCCCAGGAGCCTGGAGGCAAATCCCAACCACTCCTGATCCCTGCTAGGAACAGCCATCCCAACCCTTCCAGATCCTGCTGGTCTGGGTGGGAGCAAAGGACAATGACACCAAGTGCCTGTGGTCATTCCCTTGTGCCAAGGTACGTGCCAGGTGGGGAGATGTCCCTGAGTACCTGTCAGCTGGTGTTTGAAAATTAAACATCAGTGAAGGCCAGAATTCAGCCCTGGGCTGATCCTGCTGTGGCCATTAGGCTCAGCGAGGTCCTGGGTGGAAAAGCACAGAGTAAACTTGGCAGGGCAAAAATCAGGGATCAGGAACTCCAGATGCACTAATGGTGACTGGTGCATGATCAACTCATCCAAGCAGTTGAGATGCTACTGCTGCAGCTCTCTGGGAGAGGAGAAACACATGCAACAAGTCCCTGCAAAGAGGAGGGTCCCAAAATGCAGTCACTGAAAATGCTGGAAGCAGGATTGTGTGCAGCCATGGATCCCGCAGCCTCACCTGGGCAGCCAGTCCTCCAGTGCCACCCGAGTCTCCTTGGGATTCTTGGTCTCCTTCTTCACCCACTTCAGCCTGTTGGTGATCCTGTGCACGTGGGTGTCCACAGCTGGGGAGGGAGAGCCCAGAGTTCAGGTGGGGCAGACACACCTGAACGGAGAGAGCACAGCCAAGAGCTGCCTGTCACAGCCCACCAGGCCCAGGGCCCTGCAAGGCTTCCCCTGCAGGCAGCAGGAATGGGCAGGTGGAACGGGAGGGGAGGGGAGGGGAGACTCACTCGAAGAACAAACGTGTTGTTTTCCTCCCAGGCCCAGAGCCAAAAGCATTTGGGATGGATATCTCTCCCCACGCTCACACAATCCGAGCCAGCCTCTCTCCAAAGGTTCCCCTGCCCCGATGGAGCAGGCACAGGGCAGCCTGTCCCCCATTCCCTTCCTCCCTACGTCCTCATCCTCCCGGGCTTTCAGCTGGTGTTGCGCAAATTGCAATCTCTGCCCCTTCGTTTACTTACCCAGATGGAAAACACATTTCATAATACCCACCAGCACAGGAGGGTTTGGGAGGCTTAAATGCGTGTTTATAAAGTGCTTTGAGCTAAAAAGCTCTGAATGCAAAGTGTATTATTGTTAGATCAGCAGTGATAAACCTGTCTCTAGGGCTAATTGGGCAAAACTCAGGAAATTGCTGTAAACAGGAAGACTAAGCCTTGCTTCCTAAATCAAAACTGAGCACACAATTATTTGGAAAACACTTGGCTAGTCTGGCTGCCTCTGAACTTCCCTCCCCCACAGCAGGGAGAACAACAGACCCCAAGGGCTGTCAAATGTAGAGCAAGAGCCACGGTTTGTCCAGCTGATAGTCCCTGGTGGGGCTGCAGGATCCAGCTCCTGCCCACGCCGGCCTCCAGCACTCACTCATCGGGTGACACCACTACTGGCTTTCCCAGGGCTCTTCCATTAAGCAGCAAATCAGTTTGGAATATTAATCTGTCCCCAGGGACCCCAGGCTGCGACCTGCAGGTGATCTGGGCACAGCTCTGCCCCTCCTGCACTCGCTGCTGGACAAACAGGGTAAGTCTGGAGCATCTCTGAGCTGAGGGGAGACTGCAGGAGCTGGGCCTGGTTAGTGTGGAGGAGAGAAGGCTGAGAGGGGATCCCACCAATCCATACAAATATCTCCAAGGGGTGTCAGAGGATGGTGCCAGACTCTGCTCAGTGGTGCCAGTGACAGGACAAGGAGTGATGGTGGCCATAAACTAAAACACATCAAGTTCCATCTCAACAGGAGGAAGAAGTCTGCATGGAGGGTGACAGAGCACTGGAACAGCTCCCCAGGGAGGGTCTCTAAAGACATTCCAACCCCAGCTGATGAACTGAAGGGATGCTACCAGGGTCCTGGAGCAGGAGCTGCAATGCTTCCCCTCTGCCTGGGCAATAGATCAGGCAGGATTTAGGAGAGGAACTGGAAAAACACAGTCCAACCTACCTATCCCAGACACACTGTCCCAGGCAATGTTCATGGCCAAGTGGGCCATTTTGGGCCCAACCCCTGGCAGCTGCACCAGCTCCTCCACAGTGCTCGGGATGTCTCCCCCATATTTCTGCTTCAGGATGGCTGTCGTCTGCTTTATGTACTTCACCTTGTTCTGGAAAAACAAGGGGAAAGGCACAAAATCCAAGCTGCCCTCCAATACAGGGCAAAGAGACAAGGAAACAAAGCATTCCTGAGTGTGTGTTACAGCTGAGGCCACGCATGGGAGTTGTGGAGGGGAGACAGATCCTTGATTTTCTCCTTGGAATTAACATGTTGGGAGCTGGCAGCTCCAACCTCCCTGCAGCCAACCATCTCATCCTGCTGGGGATGCAAAGTGCCAAAGCTGGTGTAAGATGCAGCCTGACCCCAGGGGAAAGATCCCCCCAGGGAAGGGCGCACAGGCTGAGCCCCAGCGTGGGGGCTGCTCCGTGTCGTGATCCCGCACTCACCCTCCAGAACCCCACGGGGTAGATGATCTGCCCCAGCGTGGCGTCGTCCATCTGCAGGACGCTGTCGACGGTGAGGCCGCGCTGGCGCAGGCGCAGCATCGCGGCCGACGTCACCTGGTCCTTGGTCTGGCTGGACAACATCAGCGACAGCAGCACTTGGTAGCGCATGACCTGGGGGAAGGGAGGCTGTGAGACCCCCTGGGATCTCCAGAGCCACCTCCAGGGCTCGGCTCTCCCATCCAGCACCATCTGCAGTCCAGAGCAGGACATCGAGGAGGATGATGCAACTAACCTGGAATGACCCAGGATAAAATGGGACACAATCCTTTCTCCAGCTCTCTTACAAAGTTTATAAAACCACAGGTGCTCCAGGAAAATTCCCTGAGTGCATGGAATTAGGATGATCTCTGAGTACCAGGAAACAGTGTGAGGAGCTGAGGGTTACAGCATCCACTGTTTCTTGGAAGCAACGACCCCGCTTCCCTAGGGAAGAGGAGTTATTTCCGTGTGCTGCACCGTTCCCCTGGCCCCACAGCTGCCAGCCCACATGGCTGTGGAGCGTGTGACACTGTCCGGATCCGGGGTCAGAGCTCATCGTTCTCCCCAGGGATCCAAGCCCATGGCATGATGCCAGCAGCAAGGACAACATTCCATGTGCTGAGGCTGTGCAGCTGTGTCTTCCAGACCCTTCCTTCTGAGCACAGCAGGTCCTGCTGCTCCTCCGAGCCTACCTGTGGATGATCCCCCCATTCCCACTCCAGGGACTCCCACTGCTCCTCTGAGCCTGCCCATGGGTGATCCCACATTGCCACTCCAGGACTCCCACTGCTCCTCTGAGCCTGCCCATGGGTGATCCCCCCATTCCCACTCCAGGGGCTCCCACTGCTCCTCTGAGCCTGCCCATGGGTGATCCCACATTCCCACTCCAGTGCCAAGCACAGAGCACAGCCCTGCAGCCCCAGGTCCCACCATCCCTTTGGTTTTTGTACTGATGTCAACAGTCCCCTCGGAGGGAGGTGACATCTGTGTGGCCTTCGATTGTGTTCCTAGGCTTGGGGAGCATGGAGCCATCCCATCACCACCCTTCCTTCCAACCAGTATCCCTTAACAGTGGATCATGAGAGGGGAGGAGGCCACCCTACAGAGGTTTTTAAGGGAAAAAGGGACATGGCTTCACGCCTTGCCAGACTGCCCCAGAAGACAGCACTGCCCCTCACATCCATGACGTCCTGTGGGACCAACGCCAGCCCAGAGTCCTGACCCACCCTGTGTTTATTTTTCTGTTCTGGAAATATCCCAAATGGAACAACCTCCAGGGGCAACATGAGGAGGAGGGAGGCCGGGGTCGTGTCTTCCTGTGCCTGATGGAATAGGCAGCAGGATGCTGTTCCCTGTGGAGGTGCTGTTACCTTTGGAGGTGCACTGGTGTCATAGCACTTGTCCACTCCCATCTCATCCACAGGAGCATCTCTGCTCCTCCTCATCTCCCGGATGCGCTCCAGCTGCTCCCGCCAGTCCCTGGGCTCCCAGCGTGGTCTCTGGGGCTCAACACCATCCCCCTGCCCAGGTTCATAGGCAATGGTGATGCTCTTCCTCCTCCTGCTGCGCCTCGGCATGCTGGGGGTGCCATGGGTCTGGCTGGCTGCAAGGGATGGGAGAGAGATTCCAGGCTTGAGGAAAAGCGCCTTTGTCTCCCACAGAGCCCAGTGACGGCCCCAGTGTGCCACCAACCACCCAGGGGACCCTGACCAGGGCTGAACTCACCATCCCCACAGTGCCAACACAGTGGCAACACCTCACCCCCCCCAGCCAGCCCTGCCCAGAGCCAGCACGGGGCAAGGGAGGGCTGGAAGGACCTGGGAAACAGGTGACAACAGGTGACAACAGTGGGGTCAGGTGCCACAATGTGGGGACACAAACACAACCGGGCTGCTAAAGGTGCATCCCAGGCCCTCTCCCCGGACCAGCCCTCGGGCACCGCCACATCCCGGGCCCCGAGAGAGGTGTGACAAGGACACCCAGCCCCTGTCCCAGCGGGATCCCCACTGGCCCTGGTGCAGCCCCAAGCGCCGTACCCGGCACGGGTGCCCATCAGCCCCGATCCTCCCCTCTCCCGTATCCCCGAGAAGCCCCGATCTCCCCCTCTCCCTACCCTCGATCCCACTCTCCCATAACCCCGATCCCCCCTCCCGCACCCCAATCCCTGTGTCCGTACTCCCGATCCCCCCATAACCCCGATCCCCCGATGCCCTGTCCCCAGTCCATACCCCACCGCCGTGCCCTGCCCCAGCCCGTACCCCCGTTGCCCCCGGCCGGGCCGAGCCGCCGCAGCCCGGCCCTGCCCGCACACATGGCGGCCCCGCGAACTACCGGGCCCGGAGCGCACCGGGGCCGCCGGAACGGGCGGGGCTTCCGCGGGGGCGGCACCGGGGCCGGGGGCCGGAGCGGAGCGGGCCGGGGCGGCGGGCCGGGCCGGGGCCGGGGGTGAGCGGCGGGCCAGGGGTGCTGCCCGGGCCGGGGGCGCGGGGGCTTAGGGGAGGTGGGGCACCCCGGCCGGGGTGTCCGCGGTGTCCCCTCGGTGTCCGCTGTGAGAGAACCCCCGGTGTGTGTTGGGGTGGGGGTCGCGGTAACCCCCGGTGTGTGTTGGGGTGGGGAGCAGCGGTGACCCCGGTGTGTGTTGGGGTGGGGACAGCGGTGACCCCGGTGTGTGTTGGGGTGGGAGGGCAGCGGTAACCCCCGGTGTGTTGGGGTGGGGGGCAGCGGTGTGACCCTCGGTGTGTGTTGGGGTGGGGGTCGCGGTGTGACCCTCGGTGTGTGTTGGGGTGGGAGTCGCGGTGACCCCCGGTGTGTGTTGGGGTGGGGGTCGCGGTGACCCCCGGTGTGTGTTGGGGTGGGGGGACTGCGGTGACCCCCGGTGTGTGTTGGGATGGGGGGCGCGGTGACCCCGGTGTGTGTTGGGGTGGGGTCGCGGTGTGACCCCCGGTGTGTGTTGGGGTGGGGGTCGCGGTAACCCCGGTGTGTGTTGGGGTGGGGGGACTGCTGTGACCCCCGGTGTGTGTTGGGGTGGGGGGCAGCGGTGACCCCCGGTGTGTTTTGGGGTGGGGGGCTGCGGTGACCCCCGGTGTGTTTTGGGGTGGGGGTCGCGGTGTGACCCCCGGTGCGTGTGCCTAGGGGGCTGTGCCGTGTCCCGCGGTGGTGGGAGGGGGATGTGGCGTGTCCGGGCTTGTTTGGGAGCATGGGGCGACAGTGTGCCATGGCCAGGGGTGTGTTAGGGGCTGGGGGATCCCCGAGGCGGTGGGCGAGGCTGCGGTGTGACCCCCGGAGGCTGGGGATGGTGATGTGTCGCGGTGTGTGTGTCCCCTGGTGATGCTGGGCGGAGGTCAGGGCGTGTCCCCTGGGGTGCTGGGACAGGTGATTGCTGTACCCAGGGTATGGGGGAGGCTGTGGGGCATAGCTGGGGCTGTGTGGGGGCCTGTACCCAGGGCAGGGGTCCTGCTCCAAGCAGGGTTCTGGGGTCCTCAAGGGGCAGCAGGTTGGGGAGGGGACAGCTTCTGGGGATATCACTGTAATGGCTGTGCTTGTTCTCGCCCTCCTCTTCCTCTTGCCATGGCAGCACTTGGATGTTCCAACGCTCAGATTTGTAAGTCCTTCCTCACATCTGCTGTGTCCACATGTACTGTACATCATTGTGTGCTTGGCCACTTTGGGCTGGGAACAAGCATCGAGCTCACACCCTCCAAAAAGTGTGTGTGTGTGTTTGGTTATATTTCACAAATTGAGCTTGTGTAGTGGGGTTGGGCATTCAGAGCTCCCAGAAATGGCACCCCAGAGTTCCACATTCCCCCAGGGAGCTGCAGGATGCAGGTGCTGAAGGCAGGAGCAGCGCAGGCTCCTCGCTGTTTTCTCACTGTTGGGCTTCTCCCAAGTTTGAAAAGGCTTCAGACAACACCAGAGCTGTTTGGAAGAGCTGTGGTGTGATGCTGTTGTTGGGGTTGTCTTGCTTAAACATTCTCCTTGGGCCTCCCTTAGCAGAACCCCGTTCTGTGTTTGCAGGGCCTCGGTGCTCGGCAGCAATGGCAAAGCCACAGAGCAAGGATTCCGGACTGAAGGAGAAATTCAGGAACCTCCTGGGGCTGGGAACATCCCGGGGAAGTTCCAAGTCGTCGGAGGGCAAGCAGACAGAGTTTATCATCACTGCAGAAATACTCAAGGTGTGAGAAGTGAGCGGAGTAAAGGTGGGGACAGTGCCTGGGTTACCTGAGCTGAGGGATCAGGAGGGCTTAGTCCTTCTCCTTGCTCTTTTGGCACACAGTCGCTCTTGGATCATTCCCCCTCCTGATCTCTCAACTCGCTCTCTAGTGGAATGGGTGTAAGAATCACCTACTTTGCAGCTCCAGCATCTCAGTTATCCAGTGTTTGAATATTTTGGAGATACTCGATAGCATGGTGTTGTCTCACATCAGGTTACAAGGTGTTTCCCTGTTCCCCTCTTTTCTGTACTCTGAGCCCAATGAAGTTTCTGTGGTGGCATTTTGCACAAGCTGGGAACTCTTTCTGTTTTATAAAAACCTTACAGTTCTGTGGAAAGTAAAAATAAAATAAAATAATTGATTCCAGTAATTGGTGCAGCAAGTCTGTAAGTAGAACAGTTGGCACACAAGGAGGAAAACACAAAAAGGAAGAAGGAGGCCAAAGTTCCTTCTCCCCTTGGAGAAAGGGGTGTTTCTGGTAGGATAAACTGTTGGCTTATTTCTCCATTTCTTTCCAGGAACTGAGCATAGAGTGTGGATTGAGTAACAGGATACGAGCAATCGGTCAGATCTGTGAAGTGGCAAAAACCAAAAAAATTGAAGAGGTGAGTTCCAGAGTAAGAACTGAATTCCAGGGTGAGTAACTGAAGAGGTAAGTTCCAAGAGTATTGGAAAGATGGAAATTTAGGCAGCAGCTTTTAATTTATCGTGAGAGGCTCCTGAAGTTTTGACTGCCTTTTAAAACTGACAGTCCCAGGGGCTGGTTTGTGCTGTCCAGAGCTGTAAAAGGAATTGAGTCTTGTCCAACCTACCAGCTCTGGAGCAGAGAGGATGGAGCTGAGGGGCTTCGTGGACTGACTGGAGGGAGAATGCTGTGAATGTTCAGGGCAGTTCATGGAAGATGATGTTAAGAGGGGTTTTCTATCTCCTTCTGCCTGCTAATAAGCAGCCTCATTGTTTTTGAACTCATCTTGTAGTTGGGTGAAGGTTTCTGCACAAATCTTCACACTGAAGTGAGTGAATGAGGAACTTCAGTTCCTGGGGTGCAACTTGTCATGCCGGGACAGGATTTGGTGTCTCATGGGGTTCATCCCTGCATTCATTCATCGCCATAACTAATGACTGACCTACTGGCTGAAGATCCCAGGAAAAGCTGAACTTTCCTGCTGTGTCCTGTGTTTGCAGCACGCAGTGGAGGCGATCTGGAAGGTGGTGGCTGACATGCTGCAGCCAGAGCGTCCGGCCGAAGCCAGACACGCTGTGCTTCACCTGCTGAAGTCGATCGTTCAAGGACAGGTGAAAACAACCAGACTGTGGAAGAAACACTGGCTTAAACTGGGGCTTGTGCAGAAGGAGGAACATAAAAAATACTGGGTGTCCCTTTTCTACAAAATTTTCGTATTTCTTATTTTGATCATGCTTCGTAAATGGGAAGAGGAAGTGTTTTAATTTAAGTCTTGGTTTGACCTCATAGCAGAACTTTTCATACAACTCATAGAAAGCTCTTCTGGTTTGGGGCAACATTCTTGAAAAAGAGGAAATAATTTGGGTGAAGTTCAGCATAATTCAGCAAATTTTACATGGTCTCTGCCCAGACCTTCTAGTCTCAGTCTGCAACTGGTTTTGATGTTTCAGCATGTCAGGTATCCAAGAGGTTCTGGGTGAGACACTTTTCTATCCTAGCCAAGTTCAGCATACTGTGAATTCTTCAGATTTCACAATATGCTGCACAAACATGAGGCTGGATTAGCTCAAAATTGTAGTTTTCAGTGTTCTGTAAAAGCAGGGGTGGATGCTTATGAAAAGAATAGGCATCGATTCAATAAAAAAATACCATTTCAAGCATGAAGATTACTGATGTAAACCTTGATAATGTCCAGGCCTTAACCCCCTCCCTTTTTTTCTTGAAAGGGTGAGAGATTAGGGATCCTCAGGGCCCACTTTTTTAAGGTTATTAAGGACTATCCCTCCAATGAAGACTTGCATGAGCGGCTCGAAGTGTTCAAGGCTCTGACGGAGAATGGACGATACATCACCTACTTAGAAGAAGAGCTGGGTGAGTATTATCCCTCCCCCCTCAGTTTGGTGGGAATGAGTAAAGGGACAGACAACCAGTGATAAGACAGAAAGGCAGTGATATAATTTCTGGGCAGAAAGCATGTTGTAACAGGCTTTTTTTCTTCCTTCAGCTGATTTTGTACTGCAGTGGATGGATGTTGGTTTGACTTCTGAGTTCCTCCTGGTTTTAGTGAACCTGGTGAAATTCAATAGCTGCTATCTGGAAGACTATGTAGCTGACATGGTCCAGTAAGTTGGTTTTTTAACTTGTATGTGCTTATTCTTGGTAAATTACAGGAGAAAGTTGCAGACCAGTGTAAAGAATTTTTTTCGTCCAGTCTGGATTATTTTCATTCCAGGCCATACCTGACATTTCTGACAAATATTTGATTTTCAGTTCTTCCAGTGTGCAGATGTGTTCTAGTTTAACTAAATGTGCTTTCCCTATTTCATGGGGCAGACCTGGTTTTATTGCTTAGTCTCACAAAGGGCCTGTGCTGTTGCATTAGTACAGACCTGCTGAGTTGCATTTAAGTGCCACTTTATAGAGAGGTTGTAGTGCTCAGTGTCTCAGTGTTACCAACATTGCCACAGGAAGGGGAATGATGAGTTAAATAACATGGCAATTAACCTGTCTGTTTTGGCTCTTTGTAATTTGCCTAAAGTCGTATGAAGCGAGCAATTAAAATTAAATGTTCTTTCCTAACAGCAAGATCTGCCTCTTGTGCATTCAGACTTCATCATCTGTGGACATAGAGGTCAGTGGTTTGGGTTTTTGTACTTCAGAATTCTTTGAAATTCTTTGTGGCTTCTACAAACAAAATCAGATCATCAGACTCTTGGTTTATTCTCATCTTTCAAGAGAGCTGATACAACATTTTAGTATTTGTAAGCCATTGGATCTCACACACCAATAATAATTTTATTTATTTTAAACCAAACAGAGCATTGATCAATTCGACAAGTGAATCAATTTTTCAACAGTGCTTTTTAATAAGAAAAAACCCCCCAAAAATGCCTTCATCCTTTTTGACTCCCAGAGGATTTTGTGGGTTTG